AAATCGGGACATAAGACGTCTTTTAGTCGTCTTTTAGACATCTTTCTGTACACCTTTTCGAACGTCCGTCATTAGGACGTCTTTTTGTCTTTAAGACGTCTTAGTGTCGGTCCACAATAGATGATTTAACCTTTAAGAAGTAAGAAATTGACCAATTATAATCGAATATGAAAAGAATAATCGACTATGATTGGTCAATTTCTTACTTCTTAAAGCTTAAATCACCTATTGTGGACCGACACTTAATATTTACTGGGATACTAAAGTTGGAATCTTTATCTCTTTTTTACAGTGTACTTATTGGTTAACATTATGGTAGGTGAATAAGGATTGATTTATGGAGGTTGTAATCCGTTAAACTTATGCCGTAACCGTAAGAAATTGACGAATCATAGTAGATTATTCTTCTATAATTCGATTGGTCAATTTTTTTAAGCTTCGATTATAATTGGTCAATTTCTTACTTCTTAAAGCTTAAATCACCTATTGTGGACCGACACTAAAGCGGTGTCTACAATGAGATTTTAAGGCGTAAGACTTAAGAAATTGACCAATCATAATCGATTTATAGAAGAATAACTGATTGTGATTGGCTAATTTCTTAAATCTTATGTCAAAGTCTCATTGTAGACGCCGCTTAAGTGTCGATCCACAATAGGTGATTTAACTTCAAGAAGTAAGAAATTGACTAATCATAGTCGAATATTCTTTTCATATTCGATTATAATTGGTCAATTTCTTACGACTTAAAGATTAAATACTTATTGTGGATCGACACTGTGGAGGCCATCTGTTAACTTATGTCGTAAAAAATTAATTAATCACAATCGAATTATAGAAGAATAATTGACTATGATTCGTCAATTTTTTATGGTTATGGCATAAGTTAACAAATTACGGCCTCCATAAATTAACCCTAATATTAACTAATCCGAGAATCTTTTCAAAGAGAGCGATACCAATCCGCACGTTGTCTTGTTTTAGTAAGTGAGACATCTCCACTCCTTGGGAATCATATAACTTCCTTTAGGGCGGAAATGTGAAAATTGAAAAGTTTCACGTGAACTTACGATCATGTATGATTTTGATATGATTACATGATGTGGGATCATGTATCTCTCTCAAACGTGAAAATATGAAATTTTTCACGTGAACTTTTTCGCCATGTACCTTGGTGGCGGAAAGGCGGAAATCTAGGGAATTAATAGATATGCTTCGGAATTAGAGAAGATTAGGGTTGCGTTAGAATAAGTTAAGTGTACGTAGTACATATACAATTGGTTATTAAAAGATGTATATAATATTGTACCAATAAAATAATTTTCATTAGCTATAAAATCTATGAAACTATGTTTCATGATTTCATTTTCCACGCATCCAAGCTACATAATCGCTGTACGTGAAAAGTTTCATGTGAAATATCAAGATGAAAAATGTGAAATGTGAAAAAAATGTGAAAAATGAAAAATAAAAAGTGAAAAATGAAAAGTGAAAAATTTCATGTAAAGTTCCATGATTGACCCCCTTGAGAGCTCACTTCAGTATACTATAGAGCTCAATAATGAGGAGTATAAATGAAATCCTTTTTCGGTGTAGTTAGGAATAGAGCGCGCCATCCGTGGATTGTCGTTACTCTTATTTTTCGAGCGTCAAAGACCGAACGCATCTCAATTTCTGCATATACATTGTCCGTAAAAGACTTTAATACAATTATTTATGCAATTATTATTTACATACAATATAAGAATATATTTTAATTAAAATATTGTAAGAATTAGACGACCGTAAGCGGTCATGAAAGAGATTCGGAATATAAACAGCTAACAAAGAGAAGCCGTCATGGTCGTGCAGACTAAGTGTCGGATTGGTAGACGAGGGATCCCGAGTTCAAATCCAGTCGGTCTCCTTTAATTTTTTCCGAATCTAATAGATATCTTTCAATCTCAGAAGTGGGATTCAGCCTATGTTACCTCAGAGAAGATTCAGCCTATGTTACCTCAGAGAAGATTCAGCCTATGTTACCTGACAAGTCGATCGTTCAGGAGTGAACGGAAAAAAAAGTCGTGGAGTAGTACTCCAAAGTCGTGTCGGTCGTTCAAGAGAAATGAACGGAAAAAAGTCGCGGAGTAGTACTCCAAAGGAGTCGTGTCGGTCGTTCAAGAAGTGATCGAGGTCGGGAGCGGAAGCTCCAAGTTTCGGATAAAAATCTGATAGAGGAAGACTCGGTACATTTGGGACGAATGTAATACCAGTAATGTAATACCGTCATGGTCGTGCAGACTAAGTGTCGGATTGGTAGACGAGGGATCCCGAATTCAAATCCAGTCGGTCTCCGTTAATTTTTTCCGAATCTAATAGATATCTTTCAATATAATAATTATATTTTAATTATAATTATATTATACATCTGTATTATTGTTCTCCTATTATTATTCCAATAAACACAAACTATAAAAGTAATATTTTAAACATTAACGTATAATCACTAAAATTTTTTATATCAATTATTTAATAAATGTTTGAAATATTACTTTTATAGTTTGTGTGTACTGGAATAATAATATAAGAATAATAATTATAATTAAAATATAATTATTATATTATATGTAAATAATAATTGCATGAATTATTGTATATAAATGATAATTGCATAAATAATTGTATTGAAGTCTTTTACATGTGGACAATGCAGAAATTGAGATGCATTCGGTCTTTGACGCTGATCATTGGAAAGTAGGTGTAATGAAACTCAAGGATGGCGCACTC